GAATAATCGATTCTCTTCGTCGATTTTCTCTTTTGTTAATAACTCGCATGGATTAACATTTCGACAATGAGCATAAGGGCGTAAACGCATAAGGGCGTAAACGCGATGATCGATTCTCTTCGTCGATTTTCTCTTTTGTTAATAACTCGCTTAGATTAACGTTTCTCGGTGCGTTTGCTGGTGCTTTTGATAGCCAATACAACCTGTTACAGCACTGCATTGAACAAATTCTAGAAAATTGTTTCGCTTAGCTGTACACGCACACGAAAAATTTATTACAATGAATGTTAGTTCCATTTCCTATCATCCTCTGTTCATGAACATCGCAGCGAATGTTAGAAGTTGACCTTGCAGGCGATGTAATGGTTTTTTCCCTTTTCTATTTCGTGTTCTGTCTGTGCTTTCACCTACACAAGCAAGCATTTGCCTTGATTTTTATGTATAACACGCACACACTTGCCTCGAATCTCTCCAGCAGAAAAAGCATACAAAGTCAAGTGTGAGAGGAAATGAGCGCTTGTTGTTTGTTTTTAGGCTATCCATATTCAGAAGCATGGAGGAGCAGTGGAGCACAGGTCTGATAATCGTAACGTTCATTGTTCGAGTACAGTCGGCAACCTTCTCCTATTTTTTCGACATAATTAATTTCACTCACTAATACACTCTACATTTTTCGGTCTTCAATTTTCTTGCATTGGACCGCAGCTAGGTATATTGCATCCTCGGTTCATGCGGTCTTCACTTACATCCTCTGATGATGAATCCCACATAATTGTATGCGAATCTTACATCCATCGGTTGGGTGTAGCAATGTAAAGAGAAAACCGATGAAGAGAATTGATCATCGCGTTTACGCCCTTATGCATGCTCACTGTCGATTTTAACCCTCCGTTACTCGCACTGTTGTTCTTTGTACAACACACATGAGTTTTCCATTGCTATTTTGTTGCTGAGTTACCAATCGATCTGAAACCAACGAGTATTCCTCAAAAAACTTATTTTTATCTAAACAAGCTAAACTAAAAAATGCGGATAGTAGGGAAAATGTAAATGGAATCCGCGAAAACCGTGACCATACTACGTGGGATTTGACTTAATTGATTACAACATGGAATATATCGAGATCCTGACCAAATAAAAAGCTACTGTCTCCGACAAAGTTGTTCAAGAGATGATAATCTTGTCGCTGGTGGACAGTAGTTCAGAATTTTCTCACTACGTAGCGCTAGTATACACGAGAAATTCTGGCATCTGATATATTTCGAGATCCTGACCAGATAGAAAGTTACTGTTCTTCACAAAGTTTTTCAGGAGGTCAAAGCCTATTGCTTGGTGCTCAATAGTTCAGAATTTGTTCACTACGCGATGCTAGTATACACGTGAAATGCTCATATAAAATATCTCGAGTTCCCGACCAGATAGAAAGGTACTGTCTTCGGCATAGTTGTTCAGGAGGTCAAGGCCTTTTTGCAGGTGGACAGTAGTTCAGAGTTTTTTTTTCACTTCGCGGCGCTACTATATATGTGAAATTCTCGCATATAAAATATCTCTAGATCCTGACCAGATGGAAAGTAAATGTATTCGGCATAGTTTTTCAAGAAGTCAAGATCTTTTCGTTGGGTGACAATAGTTCAGAATTTTCTCACTATGCGGCGCTAGTATATACGTCCCTTTCTCGCATATTCAGCTCGAGATCTTGATCAGCTAGAAAGTTGCTGTCTTCAGCAAATTTGTTTAGGGGGTCAACACTTTTTCGCTGGTAGACAGTAGTTAAGTTTTTTTTCACCACGTGGCAAGCTTTTTGCTGAGATCCAGCAAAATAAAATACCAAGCTGCTCGGTGGTACATCCAAAGTCATAAAGAAAAGGCCTGATAATATGAAATTATCATCTCTTTCATTATACCGCTATTCCTACGCTGCTAGGAGTGTGACGTCGAATTAGTGGTTACATACACCTTATCCTGGGGCATGAAGTAGTTCGCCTCCTCGTGGTGTGCCCTGGAAACGCTAATTATCGAACCCAAGGAAGAGATATTGCGGCTAAACGAACTACCGCAGAGTAGGGACGCTGGAACCCCATCCAGCTCGTCCCAGGAGGTTGGGAAGCCCTGCACAAACACTCGTTGTGCAAAGGCAGGAGTGACGCCGGGTTCTTAGAGTGCTTAGCACACGCAGCTGGTAAGTGGTCACATCTGTCCTAAGCTGCCCTGTTGGACAGTTGGCTGGCTATCACGTCTGCTCTAGAACTCAAGCGAACAACGAACAGCGAACAACAAGAGGAAGGCCCTGCACAACTGCTCACTGTGCAGTAGCGAGTGTCACGTCGGACACAACACCTAGTGATGCGCCATAGCGCAACCGGCCCCCTCCCATGACGTAATGCTTTCGGGCGTTTCCGGGGAGGGCAAGGGCCTAGAGAACAGGATAAGGTTTAGTGGGTCGGGAGAGCTATTTCTCGCATCCCCACACCCTGAGTTATCTTCTCAGAAGTCTGGGAGCAGATTCCCCCCTGTATATAAAAAAAAAACCCACTTTTCCCAAAATCTAAACGAGAAGAATCTACTCAGTTCATCTTAAATGTGTAATGTAATGTAAAATGTATAAAATATATACACATGAGTTAGCCAGTCCAGCCATAGGACTATCTCAGTCGTGAGATTGTTTTACTCAGTTGTCTGGAGAAATTTCCAAAAGCGTAGTTCACTCAGCGCTGAGTAACCTATACTTCCGATCATAAGCTTAAATACACCCCATGAAAATGTGTTTTGTTCAAAGCTCTCTCATTTTATGTCCAATTTTTAATCTCCTTAGGTTATTTGAATGGTATGAATGGTATAGCATAAGATTTCTACTACTAATTTAATTTCAAAGATTTTTTTTTCAACTCAATTCTGAGAAAATCAATCATGATTTTTCAGAGTAAATTTTGAAAAATAGTGTAACTTTGGATGAACCTTTGGTATACAAAATTTGAAAATTATTTTGAGCAATTTGCCTCTTCGTATTTCCATTCAAAATCTTTCAAATGTTCTAAAAAGAACGAAAACTGGACGTTAAATGACAAAGATATGAACATTTGCATGTTTTTTGGGGGTGTCCTTAAACTTATAATCGGGAGTGTACGGTTTTATAAATTTCTCCATTCAACTGAGCAAAAGTGCCTTACTCTCTGAGTTAGTCTCGTTGTCCGTGCACACGTAAATACAGGATTTTGTTTTTGTTCTGGATCTCTCGATAAGACATTTTTAAATTAGCCTAGAATGAAAGGGCGACTCTTAACATTCATTTGGTGGAAGTTTCAGCGATATTAGTGGAATATATAAGTGGAACGACTCACCCCAATGTATGTATCCACAAATCTGTATGAAAATCTTCACCAGTAAAAGAAATCCAGAATATATTTATCTTATCCCACTTAGGCTGATGTAAATTGTATTTGTATTTTATAATATTTGATATGCGAGAATTGCCCGCCAAGTTTTTTGAGAAATTTCTGAACTACTTTTTAACAGCCAAAAGATCTTTATCTCCCTAACAGCTTTGCCAAAAACAGTAAATTTGTAGCTGTTCAGGATCTCGAGATATTATATATGCGAAGATTTCACGTATATCCTAGCGCCGCGTAGTGAGAAAATTCTGTTCTGTCGACCAACGAAAAAGTTTCAATCTCCTGGAAAACTTTTCCGATGACAGTTTAGCAGGTCTCAAAATATATCTAATGCGAGAATTGCTATACACGTGCAAGCGCAATGATGTGCAAAAAAAAAATGAATTTCTGTACACCACACAAAAGACCTTGGACCCGTGAACAACTTTGCCCAAGACAGTAACATTCTGTTTGGTCAGGATTTCGTGATATTTTATGTGTGATAATTTCACGTGTATTCTACACAGTTCGAAAAAGTAGTGTAAATTTCTGTTCAATATGATGCTCATAAATGGAGCGTCACATATCATATACGTTTACATAATATATCATGTAAAGTTCTGACACAGCTCATGCAATGTGCAAATATTGTATACAAAAGCCCATCTTTGAAAACAACATTGTTTGCAAGTTGCTCGGTTGCGTGAAATGAAATACAAGTTTACGTGAATGAATGATTACATCACAATTAAAATTCAGAATTTTTATCTGTGTAGCGCCGCTTAGGAAATTCTCAACTATTGTAAATCAATCAATAGGCTTTGACCTCCTGAACAACTTTGTCCAAGACAGTAACTTTCTATCTGGTCAGGATCTCGAAATAAACCACATGCGAGAATTTCACGTGTATACTAGCGCTACGTAGTGAGAAAGTGTTGAATTACTTTTCACTAGCGAAAAAGTTACGACCTCTTGAACCACTTGGTCCGCGACAGTAACTTTTTATCTGATCAGAATCTCGAGATATTTTACATGCGAGAATTTCGCGTGTATACTAACACCACGTAGTGTGAAAATTCTAAACTATTGTGCACCAAGTAATAGGCATTGATCTCATGAACAACTTTTTCGAAGGCAGTAATTTTCTACCTGTTCAGGATATCGAGCTATAGCATACGCGAGAATTGTACACGTTTGCTAGCGCCACGTGGTGAGAAAATTCTGGGTTACTGTCCACCAGCCAAAAAGTCTTGACCCCCAGAACAAGTTTGCCCAAAACAGTAACTTTCTATCTGCTGAGGATCTCGAGCTATTGTATATGCGAGAATTGCATGTGTATACTAGCTCCGCATAGTGAGAAAATTCTGAACATCTGTCCACCAACGAAAAGATGTTGATTTCCTGAACAACTTTGCCAAAGATATTTACTCTCTATCTGGTCAGGTTGTATCCCATGCGGAAACTTAGCATGTATACGATCATGTTTACATGTTTATGAATCTCCTGGTCAGGATCTCGAGATATTAAATATGAGAATTTCACGTGTGCACTAGCGCCGCGTAGTGAAAAAATTCTGGGCTACTGTCCACCAGCCAAAAAGTCTTGACCCCCTGAACAAGTTTGCCGAAAACAGTAACTTTCTATCTACTCAGGATCTCGAGCTATTGTATATGCGAATATTGCACGTATATACTAGTGCCACGAAGTGAGAATTTTCTGAACTACTGTCCACCAGAAAAAAGGTTATGATCTCTAGAACAACTTTGCCCAAGACCGTAACTTTCTATCTGGTCAGGATCTCGAGATTGTCCATGTTGTAACCAATTAAGTCAAATCCCACGTAGTACGGACACTTTTTACGCGGTTTCTATTCACATTTTCTCTATTATCCGCATTTTTGGGGGATCAACTGTGATAAAAGTTTAGCTTGTTTAGTTAAAAATAAGTTTTTCAAGGAATACTCGTTGGTTTCATATCGATTGGTAGCTCGGCTGCAAAATGGCAATGGAAAACTCACACTGTTGTACAAAGTACAACGCGCGAGTACTCGTGTTACAAAAGTTGGCGCGAGTAACGGAGGATTAACTAGATAAACTGTGACCGCTGGCCATGCTTAGCTTTTGGGATAATGACGGTAAAGTCCTCTTCTGCCATCGTTAGAAGGTTTTTAAAACGGAAACGCATTCAAGAGCGAAATGATAATTGTCTCTTTCACTACTACTGGTGTACTCAATCAACAAATGACTCGGTTATATGAGCCGTGTGCGAATTACCGGGCTTATTGGTCACTTGATGTGCAAATCCATGCGTTTGTGAAATGTGTATGTGTTGTATTTTTTCTGTGCACAAAGTTCGTGCATATAAGAATAGTGTTAGTTCTTAGTCAGTAAAAGCAGGTCCTTCTCGATTACCACTATTCTCATCATTCTGAGAGACGAATTTCGATACGAAACCGTTTTTCTTAATTAAGTCATTTTCTAATCCAATATCATACAGAGGTGTGTTTGTGTCTACGTGTGTATAAACATACATAGGAAAGTTGAAATAGAATCTAAATATACAAGTTAAATTGGATAAAGTCCTGAAGGAACTATTTGGTTCATTCTTCGCGGTTCAGGCTTTCCTGGTATTAAAAAAGTATGTCGCTACCTTTTTGTGATTTCTGGTTTTTTGGTTTGTTGGTTCCGAGTTAAAGCTATTGTTTGTATTTTTTTCTCATCCTTGGGATCAAAGCCCTCGTATCGTAATACTTTTCCCCTCTGTTTCAACGTCGTTACGTGTTGTCCGAGAGGCTTGTGCATGGCTAGGCCTCATTGGAGGGGATATCCGAGTCGGGCTTCTTCGATAGTCATCTTTTTAGGAAGTTGAAAAAGCCTCCACTCTTCTCCGACCGAGGGCCCATCAGCATGGGGACCTGATTTTTGTGGGTCAGTCGAATCTGGAATGGGAAGAAGGGAAATTACATAAAACTTTATCCCATCCCAGGAAAGTTCGATAAGCTGATTAGACGGTTTCTATGATCTCTTGACACGTTTTTTCGAGCTTCCCGTGTAATGTTATGTTTGAAAAACACAATCGACCTTTCCTTTTATGTGGTCGTCTTACCGTGCACGGTCCCTGCATCCATGGTTCGCCATCGATTTGCATCGGAAAGGTTTTCTTCGTCGTCAGTACCACTTCGCTGCACTGGGCCAATCTTCGACCAGAAGCTCTCAACCCGGTCCTTACTTGACCCATGTGCAGGCAATTTTCCAATCCAATAACTTCTATCCGTCGATCACCAATATCTGAAATCCGAACAGAAAATGAGAGAAGAAAAAGAAAATTACAAATTTCCGTTCCGATACGGGCCATTATGGATTTGCATCACATACCTTGTATGGCAATCGACAGATCGACCGAGTTGAAACTATTGGCCGACAGCTCTTTGTCCGAGTTTTTCAGCTTCTTCCGGAAGGGACCCTTGCGCATCCGCTTCTGCGACAGGTTCTCGCCCCACAGGTTCGATCCGCCGTGGGTGTAGGGGATATTCAGCAGGGCAATGCCCTGCAGCTGGGGACCGTTCGCCAGTTCCAGCGAGACACCGTCGCACTACGAAGAGCGAGAGAGAAAGGAAAGTCCCATGATAGAAAAGCAATTTAACTGGTGGTGATATGCAAATTCGCTGAAATCCACCCCTCTTTATACCGGCAACAAAATCGTTCAGCTGCCGAAAGGAAAGCTGTGAAAACATACCACGATTTCAAGGCTTTCGTGCAGATTTTTGCACGATGCGGCAAATGTTTCCGATGTGGCGTACTCGAAATACCACAGCTTGTTCTTCATTCGGCTGTTGAATTTGTGGGGGTTTTTCTCACGCTCCAGATGGAATTTCACGCAGATGGCAGCGTCCTGGAAAATGGGGAAGAAAGTTGCAAGAAGGTGTTGAGTGGATAAATTGTTACAATCTGTAGATTGGATAAGCGTTTAAATGGGTGATGTCACGGTAGATTTCACTGAAATGAAGGGACTATCGATTTAGAAATCTTTTATCCATTTCGGAAGCAGGATTTTTTGTTTGGATAATGTTAATTGGGTTTTTTTTTATGTAAGACTGCGTCTGTGATTTCTATATGGGGGTACACTTTGTGAAAACCGAAAATGGAACATGTAACGAAATTGTGAAAGATTTTGAACTCTAATAACTCAGCTGCCCCTGGACCAATTTCAATAATTCTATCACCAATCGATCAGAAACATTTCTACGCATCTATTGCATTTTATACTTTATCATTTTTTTAACTGTCACTATTGAAAATTGCACGAGTGTGCAGCTGTTGCTATGATAATTAAAATTATCACCGATTGCCTGCGAAAAGCGATTTTTCTAACACAAATTTCAAAGTTCAAATCCATCCGGTCTCACCAAACGGTGTTTATTCAATCACTGCGTGGAGAGTAGTGGTGTTATCCAGTACACAACGAAAGGCTGCCTGCATGAGCATCCATAGAAGGAGGAAGAAGCCGCACCGCTATTGATCGGAATCAGTAGCTCTTCGTTAGTAGCAAGCGCGTCATACTAAAGAGTATAAACAAAGAGAAAAATTCCTATTCCTACACAAAACACAAGCTCCTGCTGCAGTTAACAAATAAGATTTATTATATAAGAACACGTAGTCCTACGTCACCATTGCGTACAACCGCATAGGGCTGTCCATTGTAGTTTTTTTTGGATGAAAAATATCTCGACTTCCCTGGTCATAGAGTATGGTTGTACTTGCCACACAATTTCCCTAGTAGCAAACATGTCACAAACCAGTTGAGGTTATTGCTATAGAACTAATTTCAGGGCCAATCAAGATGTTGCATCTTTGTGTGACAGATGTGACTTCGGTAAACTAATGCAAAAATGGTACCAGGCTTCGGAAGCTCTCAATAAGCTAATATCTTCTTCTTCTTGTTCGCATTTCAAGCTTATTGCTTAGCGCATATTAGCTTATTGCGTGCTCTCAACTTATACCCCGTCCACATTACAGCCAATATCACGTAATATAGGCTGTCTTGCAATGAGCACTCATACAAAGGATGAAAACTAGATGTATGAGTGCTCATTGCAAAACAGCGTATATCACGTGATATACGCTGTAATGTGACGGGGTATTAGTGTTCTAAATGCACTTCCACAGTTATTAATTGAGAGCTTTCGATGCCAATACCAATGCATGAATTTGTATATTGTGTGGCAAGCACAATGATACTCTATGCCCAGGGAAGTCGAGAAAATTTCCTACCCGAAAGATTCCCTCTACCGGACCGGGAATCGAACCCGCCGCCTCCGGCTTGATAATACCGTGCCTTTACTGACTAAGCTATGAGGCCCCTAAAATCGATTATAAGCTAATATGCGATATGCAATTACAATGCAATGCAAAGAAAAAGAAGAATAATGTTTGTGAATCTACCACTAAATACTCAGTACTTATTTAAGGTGAAAGGTAATTCTTTTCCGTTGATACTGACTCCACACCCGTTCGAACCACACCCAAATTCAAAATGCATCAATACCAACAAGCATGCAAATTAGCAAAATGGGAAGTATTGCCATTTTGACCATATTCGTGAATACAACATTATTGTATAATTATAATTCTACTACTGAAATGACAACTTCAATACCAAGGATCCAAGTTCTGGGAAGGCTATATAACATGATGATTTCTAAAATAGTTCAATTTATACAATTATCTTATAAAATATCCAGATATAGCAGAATACCCAGGAACACTATTGCCTTCTAGAGGATCCTTCGCAACTTCCGGTGATGAACCACCATTTTCACTATCAGATGATTCAGATTTGGGATCCGTTTTTTAATTATTTCTTTTCCACCACTCGACAATCGAATTATTCTCTCGCTACCATTTCGAACTATGCGCTTTCACTGTAGCTTGACTTTCAAATCAACGCCTATTTTTTAGCAATTAGCTTACACATACACACACAGGAATACTCTCAAGGAGTTCTTGCGATAACGCATAGATGACATTGCCGAATAATTATTAAATCCGTTTTCAATTATCGATAATTTTCGCGGAATATTTTGAATTGAAATACCAAAAGATATCTTACAATATTCATCAATTATTGCGAACAAAAAAGTCACGCGCGAGCTTGATCATGCTCTCGGTGCTGATTGTTTGCATGCTAATTCATTCATGGATCGCCCCGTCGCGTGGCTTTTTTTTTCGCTTCTCTGTTTTGTGCGAGCGTTCCAAATCACATTGCTCTTCCATCTGGAGACTTCTAACGCACAGATCCATACATGCTTAGCTTAACTGATTTTCGCTTCGCTTCGATCTCTATACAGACCTTTCCCGAGAAACGAAATCGATCAGTTTTTACATGTCCGCCGATGTGAAAACCTGATAGCCCAACTAACAATTTTCACAATGTAAACGCTTTACTCATTTCATTTATACAGCCCCAAGCTGTACCCAACTAACATTTTCAGCTTTGTAAGCCAACTTTTCCAGCGTTGTGCTGTAAAGTAGCTGAAAAGAAGCTGCAGATACAGCTACAAGCAAAAGCTAGCAAAATAGTTTTGGAGAGCGTTTACTCAACTTTCTCACAACCATTATTCAATTTGTCAGTCGCACTGAATAACATCAGCCAATAAACGCTAATGTCACTTCTATACACACACTAATCAACTTTCAATTTGTAGCTGCAAAACAAAGCTAACAAAGTTAATATATTACTCATTTGATGGCTTTTAAACAACCAACCACTCTTGCTGAATAACATAAACATCAAAAGTGCTTTTTCAACAACTAAACAACCTGTACTCAGCTTATAAACTGTGTAAGAGCAACTTCGGATGCATTTTCACAGTCAACTAGGTTTATTTTTAGACGTGTGCAGTTTTACAGCTTTTACTCTGCTGTAACGTTTGAATACAGCTTGGGGCTGTATAAATGAAATGAGTAAAGCGTTTACATTGTGAAAATTGTTAGTTGGGTATTCAAACGTTATACGATATGAGGAAACCTTTACTCAACCTCTATACAAGCAAATCTGGCGAACTTAGTCAGCTACTTATGGCTGTTGGAACGGTCGGGAGAAGCTCTTATTGCATATCCATTAACGCTTCTATATAGCTGTTATCCTGCTGTTTAGTTGTGTGTGAACTTGAAAGGCGCTTATTCAACCTTTTCCCGGTTATCCAATAATCACTACACAGCTTTCTTTTGAAGCTGGGTTAAATACTGTTTACGCTTTTTTATGAAGGAATTTATTGAGTTTATTTTGCCGTGAATCAAATTAATCGAAATTAGCTACAAATCATCACCAAATTATTTACCCTGCACCGGAACCTGGAATCGAATTCGAGACGACCTCATTGGCAAACCTTGACACTACCAACTGTGCTAAGCCAACACTTTGAACTTATGTAAACAAATCAACATTCCCTTCTACAACAAAATCGCTGAGTAGAGGCTTTATAATAGTGCACACGAATGACTTTTCTCGACTAGTTATAAAAGAGCAGAGTAAAAGCTGTAAAACTGCACACGTCTAAAAATAAACCTAGTTGACTGTGAAAATGCATCCGAAGTTGCTCTTACACAGTTTATAAGCTGAGTACAGGTTGTTTAGTTGTTGAAAAAGCACTTTTGATGTTTATGTTATTCAGCAAGAGTGGTTGGTTGTTTAAAAGCCATCAAATGAGTAATATATTAACTTTGTTAGCTTTGTTTTGCAGCTACAAGTTTGAAAGTTGATTAGTGTGTGTGTAGAAGTGACATTAGCGTTTATTGGCTGATGTTATTCAGTGCGACTGACAAATTGAATAATGGTTGTGAGAAAGTTGAGTAAACGCTCTCCAAAACTATTTTGCTAGCTTTTGCTTGTAGCTGTATCTGCAGCTTCTTTTCAGCTACTTTACAGCACAACGCTGGAAAAGTTGGCTTACAAAGCTGAAAATGTTAGTTGGGAGGTACACTCTTTCTCGAAACGTCAATAGATCGTATCTGTTTACAGTTCCAAGCGCAGTGAAATATTTGCGAGTTGCGTTTTTCTGGTGAAAAATATAGTATTGTATATGAGATTTTCACTTCGCTTCGATCTATACAGGACTTTAAGAAAACAAAATCTAATGCTTGGGGTTGCGTTACAAAAAAAAAAATTGTTTACAGGAATATTGTCTTATGGGATAAAATGTTCCTAACAATATTTTAAAACGATCTACGGAAGTCAAATATGACCTTTCATACTAAATACTTGTTTAATTGCTGAGCAAAGCTAGCGACCACTCTGATTGTGGTCCTAAAATTAAACTTTGAAAATGGTTAGTTCTTTAATTTTGTAAAACAATCGAAGGATATTTTTTGTTAATTTTTTAAGAACATTAGAATAAATCGAACCACTTCGGGTTTTCAGTAGGTTATTAACAACTCGGGGACAACTCCAGTGTATTGCCAGTGTACCCCGACAATTTGGTGCTGATGGTTCTGTGAAACTCACAAGTTACAGAAGGATTATCTGAATGCGGAAATTATGTACAATAAATAAACTCCAAGCTTAAAACCGGAACGCGCGTCCGATGTCAAAATTAACAGTAGTGACATAGGAAGTCCAGTGATGCCAGTGAGATAGTTCGTTTTGATTTTCAGTAGTATACACAATTCATAATCAGTTTTTTGAAACTTGTTTTTTTTGTAGTCCCGTGTGTCTTTTAGCAGAACAGAACCAAAAGTTTAAACATATGATTTGGAAAACGAAAATATGTGATTGTCATCGAATTAATGGAAACAAATGAGAATTGAGCGGGGATACTATCGGTGATTTCGACGCTATTGCTATAGGCCTTTTTAATGCACCACCAACGTAGAGGGCACCACGCGAGTTCTAGA